ATGTTGGTGAAATCCAGGTAATCGGCGAACTCAAGAATTGGCACATTTGTGATATCGAATCGAGCTGTTTGGTTGACCGAAATCGTTTGTCTCTTCCCCGCGCTAAAACGTGTGGATAATACTTTAAAAGAAAAGTAAAATGGTGGAATTTAGCGAACACAAGGTGTGCCCGAAACACAGAGTGCGGCCTGTTGCAGAGCGAGACTTTTTCCCCGGTAACAAAGGGCGCATTGCTATTTCGATGTTCAATTCTCGACCCTGAACAATCGGAGTTAACTATTTTTCAACCCAGAGCAATCAGGGTAGCATTTTTCGGAAAAATGTGCACTCATAATTGAGGGGAAAATTTTTCCCCCAAATCAGGGAGGTCTAATTTGAAACGTCGGCCCTGCTCATTACTCCTCGCAAGAAGACAAGCCTATGAAGCAGCGATTGGGATTCATCTCGCCCTGATTACCCTGGGGGCCGGCCGCTTTTTCAGGATAACCCTGCCAAAATTAGAATTTCGCAATAGTTACCCTGCTGCAAAAAGAGCATGTTTTTTTTTTTACACTGATTGGATTTATGGTTAGCCTGACGGTGTCAGGGTAGGGTGTAGACTACCCTGATACCGAAACTTCTTTACCGCGGATCAGGCCATACTCCGCGTGGTGACAAACTGTACCACACCCACACAAACAGACATTTCCGAAAAGCCCCGACAGCAAATTTTCCCTGGCACGGTGGTTTCGTGCTGTCAGAGCACAGTTTTGCGCTGTCAGAGAGCAGCAAATTTGCCCAATCACAGTAGAATTGTTCTGACACAAGAGCAGATTCGCCCTTACACAAGAGATTCGCACCTGTAAGAGCATGTTTCGCCCAAGCAGGTCCGGTTGACATCTCAGTCTGATAGCATATCTGATAGCGAGGACTCTGTTGTGAGTGCTACTTTATTATGGCAGTATAAAGAACTTAGCTCACAAAATAGTTGCTGAAACAGGCTTAGCCTACAACTACCCTGCTCAAATCAGGCTATAGGTTGATTTACCCTGCTGCAAACAGGGTACGAAAATTTTTACCCTAGGGGTCGGGCTAAGGAGGGGCTGGAACCCTGATTTGTAAGGGTAGGCCTAAACCAATTTTGGGCCCTGCATCTGGTACAATGAGCACTCCGCCCGTGAAGCAGATGAGACAGACACTGTATACCATCCATTACCAACATCAGCAGCAGCACCCACCAGGACACCACCAACGGCAGCACCAGGGCATGGCACTTCCAGGGGTGCTGCTAGCAGGTGACAGCTGGAGAAGACACTATCGGACATGCCATCACAGGTGCAAAGAGAGGGTGACTTCTGAGTCCACTCAGCAGCAGTGGTCACCCACGCGCCCTGCAGTGAACAAGCACGTTCCCTGCAGCCCACACGCAGCTCCCCTGTCCCATCACAACCGAAGCGAGTTTTGCGACGTCCCAACTGGCGCAGACCTCTCATCTCTTCACAGCAGCATGTGCCTGCACTGCAAGTCAGTGCCTCCCATGACACCATCCCCACACCTCCCCCAAACAGCCACAGCAATCGGCAGTCTACAGCACTCGCCAGCAGCCGTGCCTGCAGCGGCTGAACGAGGGTCACGACAGCGGCGGCACAGCCCCAAAGGCCAAAGGTGCCCCCTTCAGTCCAGAAGCCAGTCTTGCATTCCCTCACAGCCGCAGCAAGTTTTTGCAGATGGCCTCCCATGCCTCTCACAATCGCAGCGAGCGGCTGGCAGCACTTGCCAGCAGCCGCGCCCGCAGCGCCACGTCAGCAGCGGCGCGGTCCCGCCCCTCGCGGCGCTCCCGCTGGCGCTGGTTCTTGGCGCGCTTGGGGGCCAGCCGCTCATCCCGCGCCACAAACGCCAGCCTGAACCGCTCCGCAATGGACAGCTGTGGCGGCTCTGATTCCCCTGTTGCCTCTTGTACCTCTGCTCCTGGCTTTACCTTTGCTCCTGCTCCTCCCATCGTCAATCCTCTCCTCCGCCCTCTTGCCTCCTCTCCTCTTATCCCCCCCTCCCCATCCTCCTCTTCGCCTTCCTCCTCCTCCTCCTCCTCCTCCCCCTCCTCTCCAGCGCCCCTCTCCCACACTGCTGGGGGGATACCGACGAGGTGTGGGGTGTCGAGGGGGAGAGCGGGGAAGGCTTGCAGGGGGGTGCGAGAGAGGAGAGCAGAGGGGAGGGCGGGGATGGGGAGGAGAGGGAGAGGACGAGAGGGCGCGGCGGTGGAGGGGAGGGTGGGTGTGTGAGAGTGAGGCGGGGCCAGAGAGTGGGGAGGGAGATAGTGGGGAGGCGGAGAGTGGGGAGGCGGAGGAGAGGGCGGGGCAGGGTTGAGGAGGATACGTGGGCACTTGCAGGCGAGCAGCGCTGCTGTGTTGGGGTCAACCTCGGGCTGCGCAGAGGGGATGGGCGGGTGAAGAGGGGGAGGGAAGAGAGAGAGAGAGAAAGAGGATGTGAGAGTGATGGTTAATGGAGATGTGAGAGAGAAGATTAACAACCTTGAGAGAATGGGGCTGCAATGGACAAAGGGGTAACTCAAATGCACGTTGACTATTCGCCGACCATGGAAGAGCAGGTTGACTATTCGCCGACAATGGAAGAGCAGGTTGACTAGTCGCCGACAATGGAAGAGCAGGTTGACTATTCGCCGACAATGGAAGAGAAGGTTGACTATTCACAGACAATGGAAGAGCAGGTTGACTATTCGCCGACGATGGAAGAGCAGGTTGACTATTCGCCGACAATGGAAGAGCAGGTTGACTATTCGCCGACAATGGAAGAGCAGGTTGACTATTCGCCGACAATGGAAGAGAAGGTTGACTATTCGCCGACAATGGAAGAGCAGGTTGACTATTCGCCGACAATGGAAGAGAAGGTTGACTATTCGCCGACAATGGAAGAGCAGGTTGACTATTCGCTGACAAAGGAAGAGAAGGTTGACTATTCACAGACAATGGAAGAGCAGGTTGACTATTCGCCGACGATGGAAGAGCAGGTTGACTATTCGCCGACAATGGAAGAGCAGGTTGACTATTCGCCGACAATGGAAGAGCAGGTTGACTATTCGCCGACAATGGGAGAGAAGGTTGACTATTCGCCGACAATGGAAGAGCAGGTTGACTATTCGCCGACAATGGAAGAGAAGGTTGACTATTCGCCGACAATGGAAGAGCAGGTTGACTATTCGCCGACCATGGAAGAGAAGGTTGACTATTCGCCGACAATGGAAGAGCAGGTTGACTATTCGCCGACAATGGAAGAGAAGGTTGACTATTCGCCGACAATGGAAGAGCAGGTTGACTATTCGCCGACAATGGAAGAGAAGGTTGACTATTCACAGACAATGGAAGAGCAGGTTGACTATTCGCCGACAATGGAAGAGCAGGTCGCGCAGAAAAGAGAGGTGAGAGTGTTGATATCACCTTTGAGAGAGAACGACAATGGTGAACGACAATGGCGAACGACAATGGTTAACGACAATGGTGAACGACAATGGTGAACGACAATGGTGAACGACAATGGTGAACGACAATGGTGAACGACAATGGTGGGGGAGGCGATGAATGGGAGTGGTGGGACGAAAGCATGGGTGTGAGGGGTGGAAGGTGAAAGCAGCGGAAGCACTGGCAAAGGGCACATAAATGGGGGGAGTGGCACAAGCAAGAGGCACAAGGGGCACACACAAGGGACACACACAAGGGACACACACAAGGGACACACACAAGGGACACACACAAGGGACACACACAAGGGACACACACAAGGGACACACACAAGGGACACACACAAGGGGCACACACAAGGGACACACACAAGGGACACACACAAGGGACACACACAAGGGGCACACACAAGGGACACACACAAGGGACACACAGAAGGGACACACACAAGGGACACACACAAGGGACACACACAAGGGACACACACAAGGGACACACACAAGGGACACACACAAGGGACACACACAAGGGACACACACAAGGGACACACACAAGGGACACACACAAGGGACACACACAAGGGACACACACAAGGGACACACACAAGGGACACACACAAGGGGCACACACAAGGGACACACACAAGGGACACACACAAGGGGCACACACAAGGGACACACACAAGGGACACACACAAGGGACACACACAAGGGACACACACAAGGGACACACACAAGGGACACACACAAGGGGCACACACAAGGGACACACACAAGGGGCGCACACAAGGGACACACACAAGGGGCACACACAAGGGGCACACACTAGGGACACACACAAGGGGCACACACAACGGACACACACAAGGGGCGCACACAAGGGACACACACAAGGGGCGCACACAAGGGACACACACAAGGGGCACACACAAGGGACACACACAAGGGTCACTGGTCAACAAACCACCCACACCACCCACCCAGCCACCCGCGCCCCCCTCCCCTCCCTTCCCCCCCTCTCTCCCCCCTCACCCACACACACACACTCACACCCACACCAGCCACCGCAGCGCAGGTACTCTCTCCTCCAGCCGCTCCTCCACCTCCTCTCAGCTGCTCTCCCACCCACCCCCCCAATCCCCCACTCCCCTTCCCCTGACACACACACATGCGCACACCACTCACCCACACCAGCCACCGCAGCGCAGGTACTCTCTCTTCCAACCGCTCCTCCACTTCCTCCCAACTGCCCTCCCACACGCCCTCCCCCCTCCCCCCCTCTCCTTGCATTATTTCCCCCTCCGCTTCTCCTGCCACTCCTGCCTCTCCTGCATTTCCGCCCTCTGCACCCCGTACAGGCTGCTGTGGTAGCATCCACTTGACTGCTGCTCGGGCGACTTTGTTGCAAGCAAGTGAACCTCTGGGGAAAGGGGCCAACGGGGCAACAGGGAAAGGAAGGGGAGAATGGCGGAAGGAGGGGCAGGGGGAAGGAAAAATGGGGCAGAAGGAAAGAGGGGAAGGGGAGATGAGAGAAGAAGAGGGGGGAGAAATGGGGGAAAAGGGTGTGAGGAGGGAGAAGGGGATGGATCGGATGCCTCAAAAAAAGGGAAGAGGGAGATTCAAAATAACAATGGCGGAATTAGCTTGTTCTAAGGAACGGCGAGCAGTTGATGAAAGAAGGGGAGAAGGAGAGAAACGGGGAAAGGGGAGAAGGAGAGAAACGGGGAAAGGGGAGAAGGAGAGAAACGGGGAAAGGGGAGAAGGAGAGAAACGGGGAAAGGGGAGAAGGAGAGAAACGGGGAAAGGGGAGAAGGAGAGAAACGGGGAAAGGGGAGAAGGAGAGAAACGGGGAAAGGGGAGAAGGAGAGAAACGGGGAAAGAGAAGGAGAGAAACGGGGAAAGGGGAGAAGGAGAGAAACGGGGAAAGGGGAGAAGGAGAGAGAACGGGGAAAGGGGAGAAGGAGAGAAACGGGGAAAGGGGAGAAGGAGAGAAACGGGGAAAGGGGAGAAGGAGAGAAACGGGGAAAGGGGAGAAGGAGAGAAACGGGGAAAGGGGGAGAAGAAGGAGAGAAACGGGGAAAGGGGAGAAGGAGAGAAACGGGGAAAGGGGGAAGGAGGAGAGAAACGGGGAAAGGGGAGAAGGAGAGAAACGGGGAAAGGGGAGAAGGAGAGAAACGGGGAAAGGGGAGAAGGAGAGAAACGGGGAAAGGGGAGAAGGAGAGAAACGGGGAAAGGGGAGAAGGAGAGAGAGAAACGGGGAAAGGGGAGAAGGAGAGAAACGGGGAAAGGGGAGAAGGAGAGAAACGGGGAAAGGGGAGAAGGAGAGAAACGGGGAAAGGGAGAAGGAGAGAAACGGGGAAAGGGGAAAGGGGAGAAGGAGAGAAACGGGGAAAGGGGAGAAGGAGAGAAACGGGGAAAGGGGAGAAGGAGAGAAACGGGGAAAGGGGAGAAGGAGAGAAACGGGGAAAGGGGAGAAGGAGAGAAACGGGGAAAGGGGAGAAGGAGAGAAACGGGGAAAGGGGAGAAGGGGGAAAAGGTTGTGAGGAGGCGGAAGGCGATGGAGACGCCTGAAAAAGAAAGTTCAGGCATGCACGAGGGAGCTAAGCACTTGAAGAGCCTAGATCAGAGGTGAATGGTTGGATGGGAGGCAGGAACGAGTGGAAGGAAGAGAAGAGAGAGACAACAAGAGCAACTCACCTCATGCGCAGCAAGAGCAACTCACCCCATGCGCAGCAAGAGCAACTCACCCCATGCGCAGCAGCTGCAGGGCGGGGCAGGCCTTGAGGAGGACTGTGAGGCCGTGCAGTGACACAGCGCTGCATGCTCTGATGGACACAGAGAGGCGTGGGAGGAGGACATAGGGGAGGGGAGTGTGATGAAAGCAGCAGCTGTGGGGCGGGGCAGGCCCTGAGGAGGAGCGTTAGTGCGTGGATTGACACGGCGCTGCACGCTCTGGGGGGCACACAGGGGCGTCAGTGGAGGGCGGGAAGGAGTGCACACGGGGAGTGACGGGGAGAGTGGGGAGGGGAGTGCGATCTAGTGATGACGATGATGATGATGAGGAGGAGGAGGAGGAGGAGGAGGAGGAGGAGGAGGAGGAGGAGGAGGAGGAGGAGGAGGAGGAGGAGGAGGAGGAGGAGGAGGAGGAGGAGGATGGATATGGTGATGGTTATGGTGGTGGGTGCCGGTGCAAGGATTAAGAAAAGTAAAGGGCCTCAACATTCGAGCGAAGTCAAGTGTGAGGCTCCGATGAATGCTCAACTCAATGCATTCTTTGGTGAAAAGCTACCCGGTGATTCCCCAGGTCACCTGGAATCTCACCTGATGTCTAAAGCTACAAGCTTTGGGCAAGTCTGTGCCACGTGGCAAAGGCCCTGGTCTGAGACGTCAGACCCACATAAGTCCACAATCTGCCACGTGTCATCCACCAGCGCCTCCAGCAGCCAATCAGAAAGCAGCCCTCGACGCCTTGCAATGGCAGTCAGTGCCAGCTGTTTTGACACGTGGACGAATGTAGAGAGCGGAGGTGGAGGGGGGAGACGTTGGTGAAAGCGGGGAGAGGGGGGGGAGGAGGTTGTGGGGGGAGTGTGGGTGCGTGGGTGGCGGGGGGTGGGAGGGCTGGGGGGCGACGAGGAGGAACGGGTGAGTGTTACTGGAGACGTGGAGAGGGGGAAGAAAGGGGAGCAGCGACACAGCACGGACACATGCCCAACCAACGACATACACATGAGCAAGAGCATGGGGAGTGTGACGCAGGCAGGTGGTAGCTCCTGTCAACCCCAACAGGCACAACCACTGCTCTCAGCACCGAACCCAACCACTGCATGTTGGCAAGCGCTCTCTGTCCCTGATGCACCTATCTACTATCTAGACCTCTCTGCCCCCCCCCTTACATGCAATGCCCCGCCATGCATGCACGCACCCTACCCACCGCGCCCATGCACCTATTTTCGACCCAATGCCCATGCACCTATTTTCGACCCAATGCCCATGCACCTATTTTCGACCCAATGCCCATGCACCTATTTTCGACCCAATGCCCATGCACCTATTTTCGACCCAATGCCCATGCACCTATTTTCGACCCAATGCCCATGCACCTATTTTCGACCCAATGCCCATGCACCTATTTTCGACCCAATGCCCATGCACCTATTTTCGACCCAATGCCCATGCACCTATTTTCGACCCAATGCCCATGCACCTATTTTCGACCCAATGCCCATGCACCTATTTTCGACCCAATGCCCATGCACCTATTTTCGACCCAATGCCCATGCACCTATTTTCGACCCAATGCCCATGCACCTATTTTCGACCCAATGCCCATGCACCTATTTTCGACCCAATGCCCATGCACCTATTTTCGACCCAATGCCCATGCACCTATTTTCGACCCAATGCCCATGCACCTATTTTCGACCCAATGCCCATGCACCTATTTTCGACCCAATGCCCATGCACCTATTTTCGACCCAATGCCCATGCACCTATTTTCGACCCAATGCCCATGCACCTATTTTCGACCCAATGCCCATGCACCTATTTTCGACCCAATGCCCATGCACCTCGGCAATGACCACCCATGCAAATGAGCATACACATGCATGCACGCACCCGCGCATGGGGCGGCAGCAGAGCCACGAATCCTCTCAAGTCAAACTCGTGTGCGTCCATGCGGAGGAGGTGCGGCAGGTAGCGTCCCACCTCGCCCACACACAGCTGTAACAGTGTTGGCACAGGTGGGACTGAAATGGGGAAGGGGGATATGGGGAAAGAGGAGGGGAAACGGGGGTAAGGGCGGCTGCAAGGGGGGGAGGCAAGGCAGGTAGGTAGCGTCCCACCTCGCCCACACACAGCTGCAGTAGTGTCGGCACAGGGTGGACTGGGAGCGAGAGAAAGGGGAGGGGCGAAAGGAGGCAGGGGCGGGGGAATGAGCGATGTTGGAGGGGAGGAGGTGAGGCACGTAGCGCCCCACCTCGCCCACACACAGCTGCAGTAGTGTCGGCACAGGGGGGGCTGAAAGGGGATATAGCGGGGCACGGGAGGGGGAAGGGGGAACGTAGGGGGGAGTGGAGGGGAAACGGGGGACATAGTGGGGAGAGGAGAGGAACGGGCGTGGTTGGAGGGGAGGGAGTCAAGGTAAGAACCACCTCGCTCACAAACAGCAGCAGCAGGGACGGCACAGGGGGGAGTGGTGGCCGAAACAGGTGGGAGAGGGAACGGGGGAAGGCTAGGGATTTCAAAGGAGTTTAGAGAGTCTGAAATCCTCTTGGGGAGACAGTTATAAAGACAGGGGAATTTGGCGGTTGGCGTGCGGGAGGGAATAAAAGAAGCAGGGGATTGGGGTTGGGTGGACGGAAGGGAGGCGCAGACGCAACGACCCACCCTATCCCTCTCCCTCTACCCACCCTTCTCCCTCTCTCCATAGCCTATCACCCCCACCTCATCCCCCCTGCCCTACGTGCCACCATCTCACCTCATGCCCCTCACTCCTCCTCCGCATCCTTATCTCACCGTCTCGCCCTCGCATCCCCGTCACGAAAGTCAGTCCCGATCGCCCCGCCGCCATTTCCCGGCCGCTCTGCGCGTCGCTCGCGCCTCCTTCCCCGTCGCCTCTCTCGCCGCCTGTTGCGCCGCGTGCCACGCCGTCAATCGCGGGCCCTGCGCGATCCTCTACCAGCCCGTCAGACCTCGACTGTGAAACGCCGCGATCGCGGCGCAAATAGTCCGGAGAGGCGCCTCCAAAATCTACGGCGGCTCGAAGCGCGGCCGCTTCCTCCGCAAACGACGGCAGACGCGGTGCCTCTCCGGCGGTACTTGCGGTAACAGCGGCGGAAGTTGCGGCGGGATTTGCGGGCCGGCCTGCTGTTGGAATCGCGGAGGAGTCTTGGCAGAACGCGCAGGTGCAGTCGGGGGTGCCGCGACAGCGATGATTGACGACGGACGTGGGGAAGCGACGTCGCGAGGCCATCTTATCGCGCTCCTCTCATGGAAAGCATGCAGTGCGGAGGGAGGTGGTGTGGGTTAGGCACGGGGGAAAGCGTGTGAAACAAGTAAGTGCAGCGAGCCGAGAGGGCGTCTTGACTTGGTTTGATGAACCTGATTTGTTGAATTCCGTTTTCGCGTTTAGTCCAGGTCATCAGAAGGGTTGTGTGCTTCACAAATCAGTGCTGGAGAGTGTTAATATACGGTACAACGAAGCCCACCTGTAAAACAAAAGAATGTTAACTTCCAAGAAATCCACAACCAGAGCTACCTGAAATGTGTTCCTCACAGTCAGCCCCCCGTCCTGTTCCCCCCCACCCCATCAGTCCCGTCAGTCCCCACCATCACCCCCCTCCACCCATTAGATCGTGTTGGCAGTGAGCTGGAGGCTGCTCGACAACCCCACGAAGCGGGACAGCCCCAAAGCACTCAGCTCGTAGAACATGGAAACATCCCCACCGTCCATGCTCAACACGTGCGCTCTAAGCACGTGGCGCAAACACCATAACAGCCCCCTGCAACATGTGCTTCCCCCAATCCCAACAGTCCCCACCAGTTCCCCCCAGCCCCTCCAGTCCCCTCAACCACCTGCATCAACCACCCTCCACCCATTAGAACGTGTTGGCAGTTAGCTGGAGGCTATTGGACGACCCCACCATGTGAGAGGTGCCCAACACACTCACCTCGTGGGGTCCCACCTAGCCTTGAACCCTCTCCAACCCCTCACCACTGTGCCCCACCGCATCAGAACGTGTTGGCAGTGAGCTCGAGACTGCTCGACGACCCCACCATGCGCGACGCACCGAACACATAGAGCTCGTAGTACGTCGACCCATCGCCACCACCGTCCATACCATAAGCCAGCAGGCTCGCCATGGCCTCCATGTGAGGCATCTCCGCCCGCCCGTCCTCGTCCACTGCCCCGCCTCCAGTGCTGCCTGTGCCACCCCCGGCACTGCCACTGCCGGCATCTGTTCCCCCGGTTCCCCCGCCAGAACTGCCGGCATCTGCTGCTGGGTCGGCTCCTTTTGTCTTTTTTCCGCCGCCGCTGCTGCTGTCCCCGCCGGTTTTTGCTCCCTTGCCGCCCTTCTTCCCGCCTTTTCGGCCCAGCGTTTGGAGAGATAGGGCGGCTGTTTCTGCTTTGTCCTTTAGTTTACTTGAGAGTGCTGTGCTATCGGTTTGCTTTGGCTGGGCTACACCTGCAGTGTTGCTTAACGAGGCTGCTTTTATCGAGGATGAGGACGCTCCTGCAGAGAGTGACTGTGGGTGGTTCTTGCCTGCAGTTCCTCCCTTCTTCCCTCCCCCTTTCTTCCCTCCCAGCTTCTTCCCAATAGCAGCAAACGCCCCACCTAACGCCCCTGCCACACCCCCCCCTCCACCACCCCCACCACCACCACCGCCCCCTCCACCAACATTCCCAATCACCCCCGGAAGAAACTTAATCTTCCCCTTCCCCCCCTTCTTCTCGGCGCCACTCCCTCCGCTATCCGAGCCCACCTCCCCAGCACCAGGGGGGTACTGCAGGCCAGCAGCAGCGTCAACAGTGAGGTAGCCCGCACACATGAAGAGCCCCATACGCGGGTTGGCCCAGCGGCTATGCGCGCAGTGCAGGGGGAGGGGCGGCATGGCGTGGGTGTCGTTGTAGATGCGGAGGAGCGGCGAGACAGGGTCCTCCTCTGGGTCGACTATTGCCACCACGTAGGAGAGATTGTACTGGGACGCTCTGGTGGGGGGGATGGTGGGAGGGAGCGGGGTGAAGGAATAGCGGTGGTGAGTGCATGCTGCAAAGACAGGGTCCACTATAGCCACCACGTAGGAGAGGCTGTACTGGGACGCTTTGGTGGGAACTTGGAGGGTGGTGGTAGTTTGGTGGGTGGGATGGGAAGAACAGTTGTGGTGAGTGCAAGGAGCGAATCCTCCTATGGGTCGACTATGGCAGGCAGCATGGTGTGGGAGAGTGGCAGGCAGCATGGTGTGGGAGAGAGGGGCCTCCTCGGGGTCCACAGGCTGTTGCACTGACAGGCAGCTCGTTTTGAGACATCTCAAAAAAGGCAGTGAGCTGCCCCCACCAGCTCGTTTTGAGACATCTCAAAAAAGGCAGTGAGCTGCCCCCACCAGCTCGTTTTGAGACATCTCAAAAAAGGCAGTGAGCTGCTCCCACCAGCTCGTTTTGAGACATCTCAAAAAAGGCAGTGAGCTGCCCCCACCAGCTCGTTTTGAGACATCTCAAAAAAGGCAGTGACCTGCCCCCACCAGCTCGTTTTGAGACATCTCAAAAAAGGCAGTGAGCTGCCCCTAGCAGCTCTCGCCATGTGTTCACTTGGTAATGATGTGCAGCCGAGGCGTACAGACGATGATGGTGCCCCAACGGCACTGCAGGGCAGTGCATAAAAGGCCGTGTTTAAGGACTTGTGGGGTGCCTGAACAAGGGGCGAGGCACTTTAGATGCCGTGTGCTTATACTGGCACTTTAGAGGCACTTGTGTGCTGCCCTTCATGGCATTCACGAGTGGGTTTTATTACGGCTTTAACAGCTGGCCAATACGGCTTTAACAGCTGGCGAATGCGGCTAAACAGCTGGCGAATATTTTAACAGCTGGCGAATACGGCTTTCACAGCTGGCGAATATGGATTTACAGCTGGCGAATACGGCTTTTACAGCTGGCGAATACGGCTTTCACAGCTGGCGAATACGGATTTTACAGCTGGCGAATACGGCTTTTACAGCTGGCGAATACGGCTTTTACAGCTGGCGAATATGGCTTTTACAGCTGGCGCTTACGGCTTTAACAGCTGGCAAATACGGCTTTTACAGCTGGCGAATAAGGCTTTTACAGCTGGAATATGGCTTTTACAGCTGGCGAATACGGCTTTTACAGCTGGCGAATACGGCTTTTACAGCTGGCGAATCCGGCTTTAACAGCTGGCAAATACGTCTTTAAGAGCTGGCAAAAACGGCTTTAAAAGCTGGCCAATACGGCTTTAACAGCTGGCGAATGCGGCTAAACAGCTGGCGAATACGACTTTAACAGCTGGCGAATACGGATTTTACAGCTGGCGAATACCGCTTTTACACCTGGCGAATACAGCTTTTACAGCTGGCGAATACGGCTTTTACAGCTGGCGAATACGGCTTCTACAGCTGGCGAATACGGCTTTAACAGCTGGCAAATACGGCTTTAACAGCTGGCAAAATCGGCTTTATCAGCTGGCGAATACGGCTAAACAGCTGGCGAATGCAACCTTAACAGCTGGCAAATACGGCTTTAACAGCTGGCGAATACGGCTTTAACAGCTGGCAAAATCGGCTTTAACAGCTGACGAATACGGCTAAACAGCTGGCGAATATGACTTTAACAGCTGGCAAATACGGCTTTAACAGCTGGCGAATACGGCTTTTACAGCTGGCGAATGCGGCTTTTACAGCTGGCGAATACGGCTTTTACAGCTGGCGAATACGCCTTTAACAGCTGGCAAATACGGCTTTAACAGCTGGCGATTACGGCTTTTACAGCTGGCAAATACGGCTTTTAAAGCTGGCGAATACGGCTTTTACAGCTGGCGAATACGGCTTTTACAGCTGGCGCGGCTTTTACAGCTGGCAAATACGGCTTTAACGGCTGGCAAATACGGCTTTAACAGCTGGCAAAATCGGCTTTAACAGCTGACGAATACGGCTAAACAGCTGGCGAATACAACTTTAACAGCTGGCAAATATGGCTTTAACAGCTGGCCAATACGGCTTTTACAGCTGGCGAATACGGCTTTTACAGCTGGCGAATACGGCTTTTACAGCTGGCGAATATGGCTTTTACAGCTGGCAATTACGGCTTTTGCAGCTGGCAGGAGGACTCACTCAAAGGTGATGTGCACATAAGCGCCGCCTGTCATGGCATCCACGAGCGGAGCGCTGAAGAGAGGACTCTCCAGAGGGACAGCGAGGAGACCGGGGTTGCCTGCGAGGGGCGAGGGGGGCGGGATGGAGGGGTGTAGCGCGCTTGAGTCGTCTCGACGCTCAATAAGCGCCGCCAGTCATGGCATCGACCAGGGCAGCGCCAAAGAGAGGACTCCCCAGAGGAGCAGCGAGGAGACCGGGGTTGCCTGCGAGGGACGAGGGGACGAGACGGGGGAACGGGACGGGGGAACGGGACGGGAGGGGTGTTGCTATGTTAAGTCGTGTCGTGACATGACATCAACGAGTGCAGCGCCGAAGAGAGGACACTCCAGGGGGGAGGGGAGGGGGGGGGTTGCGGTGAATCTCTTTGCATTGCATTGCCTTTCTCGAGGCTTGCAGTCGCCAGCTTGGGCAGCTGATCCGAGTATCCCGGGGGAGATTAGAAACGCCTCAAAAGTCACCCCCCGCCCACCCAACCCACCCAACCACCCCCAACCTCCCACCCCGCACCCACCGAACCGCCCCCACCACCCACCGAATCTCTTTGCGTTGCCTTTCTCGAGGCTAGCAACGGCCAGCTTGGGCGGCTCGTCCGAGTATCCCGGGGGCGACACCGTTTCCACCGTGTACTCGCCCACCAATTGCGGCCTGCCACCTGGCGCAAGCTCCTTGGTCATCGTGTCCGTGCCGTCCTGGAAGAGCACCGAGCCGTAGGTTTCCCAGACCGTTGGAACCACTTTCAACCACTCTGTACCTGGTGGGGGTGGAGATGGGCGGGCGGGAAGGTGGCACGTGGAGACAGGAGGGGAACAGGGAGGGGCATGGGAGGGGCGTGGGAGGGGCATGGGAGGGGCGTGGGAGGGGCATGGGAGGGGTACGGAGAAGAGATGGGAGGGGTATGGAGTGAGTGGGAGGGGTGTGGGAGGAGTGAGTGTGGGGCAGAGGTGTAGAGGTGTAGAGGTGTGGCAGCAGTGGCGGGACCACTGAACGGAGTCTGAGAAAGGGAATAGAGGAGAGAGAGTGAGGGGGGGGGGGGGGGAGAGGAAGGGGAAAGAAAGAGGGCGCGAGAGGTGAGGGGATGTGGAGAGCGGGTAAGGGAGGGAAGGAGGGAGAGGAGTGAGAGAAAATGGGGAAGGGGGGGACGTGGTGGGAACAGAACGAAGAGGGGGAAAATACGAGATTTCAAGGTTCTCCTGACTATTTATAAGCACAGTTGTTTTCTTCGAATGACTACAGGAACAAGAAGGAGAGGTGGAACGGAAAGGGGATGGGGAAAGGGGGAGAGGATGGAGAGGAAGCAGCTAGCACGGGCCACCAGTGAAGCGCTTTTCCGTACCTCCGTTCCCCGCAATACCTCGCTGCCGCACCCCCCTGCCGTACCACCGTGCCTCCATCCCTTACCATACCTCCTTACCATACCTCTCTGGCGAACCTCCCTGCCGAACCTCCCTGCCGTACCTCCGTTCCCGGCGAGCGTCTGCATCTCAACGGCCGTGTCCTTGCCGGCCGGCGCGGAGGGCAGCATGGAGGGGTTGCGATAGAGAGTCACGTTGTAAGGGGGATCCCTCGACCCGCCCACCGTCAGCTGAAACTGAATGCTGGTGGGCGGCGGGGCGATAGGGGTGAGCGGGAGGGAGGGAGAAGAGGGAGGAGCGGGGTGGGAGCGGGGCAGGAGAGGGGGGGAAGCGGGTCAGGAGCGGGGATGGGGAGGGAAAGTGGGGAGGGGAGGAGCAGGCAGGGGTATGGGCTGAAACTTAATGCTGGTGGCAGCATGGAGGGGTTGCGGTAGAGCGTCACGTTGTAAGGGGGATCCCTCGATCCTCCCACCGTCAGCTAAACTGAATGCTGGTGGGTGGGGGAGTGTGGGGAAAGCGAGGGGAAGCGTGGGGGATGGGGAAAAGGGGGAGGGGGGGGGGGGGGGAAAGGGGGGGCGGGGGAGGGGTTGAGAAGTGGGGAGAGGAGGGAGAAGGCAGGGGCATTAGCTTCAAGGAGCGTGGAGGGGTTGTGATGTGAAAGTGCTGCTGTGTCGTACTTGCGGTGGAGGGAGGTGGGGAGAAGGTGGGGAGAGCGTGAAAAGAGGGTAAATGCGGTACCCGGTTGGGGGAGGTGGGGGGCGGCGAGGGAGGGAGGGGGTGGGTACGGGGATGGCGGACGAGGGGCATGTGAAGGCGAGAAAGCGGGGGAAAGAAGCTAGTAGATGCGCTCACCTCTCCGCTATAGCAAGAGCCGTTATACTCTTAGTCGACGTCCCGCGAGCAATGGCGGAATAGTAGGCTGGCGGGAGGCCAGGGAGGAGACGGTGGAAGAGGAGGGTAAGAGAAGGTGTGGAAAGGGGGAGGAGAGGGGGGTGGGAGGAGGGGGGTGGGGGGGGGAAGGTGGAGGGGGGAGTGTGAGAGCGAGGGGAGGGTGGGTGGTGGCCAATAGATTGCTGCGAAGCACTCGCAGCGAGCACGTTGAAAGATACACGGGCACGCACTCGCACACGTGCAGGGTCGACGACAATGTATGACCAAACGAACGCGTGGTGCAGCAGGGTAACCGCACTGTTCCCTGATGTTTACCCGCACTTTGCCGCAGCTGCTCGCAATCTCTTCGCTTGTCGCTCATCACACTTATTTGTCCCGCTCGCACGCGCGGAATAGCCACGTGATAAAAGAAGTGTTTTGAGACGTCACAAAACACTCGCACGCGCGTAGCCACGAACAGGCAAGGGATTGCAAAAGACGCGAGCTTGCAAACGGCACGAACGCTCAAAGGACTCTACGCCAGCGAAATACGAACTCCATGTGTGTATTGGCCGGCTGACAGCCAATAGGCAGAGCGCAGGCGCCCAATCGGACGCTCCAGGGCTCAATTCTTCGGTCGTTTTAATTCTTTAACCTCCTTCTGTCGCCCATTTTGAGACGATTCAGAAGTCTGGCGGGCGGCGACAGTTCTCCGCTGATCGTCGCCTGCTCATAGCTGATCGTCGCCTGCTCATCGCTGATCGTCGCCTGCTCATTTCGACGGCCGCTTTCCTCTTCTTCTTCCCCGTGGGCTCGCCGTTTGCTCTTCGCCTACAGCCTTCGCCAATGTTCTTCCACTATTCCCTTCGCCAACAGTCTTCGCCTAATCTTTCGTCTAACATCTCCTACGGTCTCCGCCTTTGGCCTTCGCTTATCGCCTTCGCCTAGGTGGTTACCACGCATATCGCTCACCTAGGCCCGCGCTGTTCTCTCTCTTCTTCTTGCCCTTGGGCTTGCCCTCCGCCGCGGGGGAAGGCGCGAGCGCAAGAACCGCTGGGGAGTTTCGGGGAACGCGGAGAGGTGGGACGGGGGGAGGGGAGGGGAAAGTGGGGAGGAGGATGGTGGGGAGAGAGTACGGGGGGCTGGGGGAAGGGGAAAAATAGGATTGGGGAGGGTGATTGGGGATGGGTGGTGGGGAATGGGGATGAGGGGGTTGTTGAGGGGATGTTGAGGTGGGTGGTGGGGGAAGTGAAAGGACTCGAGCCGCGCAGAGTGCCCGCTGGCGCGACGAGAGAGGCGACTGAGTTGACGCAGGCGACGCTTCCCTGCGACGTTTCCCTGGGAAACTCCCCAATCTCGTTACGATGCTTTTGTTCTGAACAGGCCTAAGCTCAAGACGGCACTCGGCGAAAGACAATCCGTTGCGACACAAGGCGTTGAGAGAAAGAAGATAAGCTTGGAAGTGAGGAAGATGCACGGAGGTTCTATAGCGAGTCGGCTCTGGGGAAGTTCAGGCTAGAAAAGCGTACATAAGATGAGCGCGACGCAGCATCGTCGTAGATGAGCTTGATTCGTACAGCGCCGTGTATGAGCCATGGCTCGCGCAACCACCTCGGTGTAATATGTGCTAACGGCTATGTGGTTCTAGAGGTCCTACTGGATTATGTAATCTCAATGGCTATGTGATACTAAAGGTCCACGGGACTATGTAATGTTAAAGCCAGGGTCTCATGTACGACTATATGATCTTTAGTTATTGTTCTCGCTGATAAGCTGACATAGTTTCCACGCGTGGGTTTGCAGGGATAGAGAAGCGTGCAGGGAAGTGATGCGAAGCGGCTGCCTGTCCGTGCTGTATCGAAGGTTGGTGCCGGTGGAGTTTTGGGTGGAGGAACAGAAGGAGATGACGGGGAACCACAGCCTGACATGCAAGCAAGAGAGCCAAGCGGGGAAGACCGAGAGATGGGACGCGCATTGTGAGTTAGGGCGGGTCCAAGGAGTACGTCCGAATGGGGTTGGAAAAGGTTTGATTAGAACCCAAAGCGGTCTTATTAAAAATCCAGATGGTTGAGTAGGTTTTCCGCAGATATGTTTATTGTTGGACCCACCCTTTCAGAACATGAGACAGAGAGACCTAAGGCTCGTTGAGCCGTACCGTACACATGAGACAAAACAGGGTTACAGTACACGGGGAAAAAAACAGGTGAAAGTGCAGCTTTGCTCAGTCGAGTCGCGCTTCGGGGAAGTGGGAGTGGCAGATGGGACGAGTGGCAGTGGGAGTGTAGGGGGAAAACGAAGGCCCTGTTCGATAGCAGGGTGAACGAGAAGAAGAAAACTTGGAAACGGTGGGGAGAATTGGGCGGGAATCTACGTGGCACTCCTTGCGACGAGTCCGAGTTCCCGCTAGCGCGAACGACCCCATTGCGATGTCTCGGATTTCCCGCCTTCGCGGAAAACGGGAAGTTCAACAATGGTTCCAGACGCCGAAGCGCGCCCTAACAGTGACTCTCGCCCAATGATTACATCATCGTCATAGCTCCTCTCGGGCAAAACGCCGCTCTGTTACCACACCAATGCCATTTCTACTTTTCGGTGAAGGAGCAACGGTTTCTGTCGGTTGGGGTATTGAGGGATATGTTAGATAAAATAACAGTCTAAACCAGTGGCATGCCCACTCCTTGGGACACAGCTCACTCGTTTTGGAACCGCTATGTAAAACACTATTTATTTTTCAGATTGAATATTTTGATGGCGATACTTTTTCTGACGCTGACCATGGTTCCGCCAGGGCCCGGGTCAGAAAAAAAACACATAATGTTTCCACACCAATTGGCCGTTGATGTGGTGTTTCCGAACACCTCGGCCGTTAGACCTGCAGAAAGAAGCCGGCAGGCAGTCGGCTTCAATCATTACGCTGCCGGCGGTGCCGAACGAGCACCGTTTGTCTTTATGCTCCCACCGTTGTGCTTGGACAATGGTGGGGGGCTTTTTGCCGAATTGCTATCGAACAGGGCCGAAGTGTATGGGTGCGGTGAAAAACGCGTTACTGTATGTGCTGCGAACACCTAGTACAGTTCAATCGTGTGTTGTGTCCTAGTACAACGGCCTGACGTGGCAGGTAAAACCGCAGACAGCTCGGTTCCTCCTGGATGGAACGATTCACTGTAGCACATGCGCTCGGCGGGTGTTGTAACGACAAAGTACTGTTCAGGTCATACCTGCACTTCGTCAGAACAACCGTGTAGAGGGAGCATTACTATTCTCAGAGGTTTATGTGTCATTGTTCCGTCTGAGAATATGCATCTATACAACCTAAAGAAGACTAACAAGCTAACCAGGCATATTTTGAACTTGATCCTCACTACTATTCGCATATAACTAAAATCCTGTGATGATACAAACGAAAAAAAAAGTGTATGTGGGTACACACCGCACCATAGTACCGGTAGCTAGGTGTATTGAACACAAGTGCACATCATTCCAGCCATAGTGACCCATGACACATGGTGGGTGGGATGCACCATGGCTCAAGAGTGGGGTTGGTTGGGTCGCACTATAAGGATACCATGAGCAAAGACACACAGAATTGGCTTACATATGTATGCTTTTTATATTTCGGTTTGCTCTTGACTCTAGCTACTGGTAACAAGGTCGCCAATAAAGAACTCTTCCACTTGATCGAAAACGCGGGATGCGTGTTGAGGCCTGCAGAAGAACATTTACACAGTAAGAAAGCACAAACATTGGCATTCAAACATTTTGATCGAAAACCCTCGAAATGAAAATGTAGAAACATGAATGAAGGACTCATCTCATACCCGTAGAAGCCTTCTGTTGCATCCCCTCCTGCATTGTTGAGGATGGCATCGCCACCCGGGTGCTCATCCACATACGATGTCAGATCGTACACCTGCAGCGACCAGGGGGTGAGAGATTCATGAGGAGACAAGAAACTCAAGAGCTGCGCACCAGCTTTTGAGGAGCCTCAAGGCCACCAGGGTGCTCATCCACATACGACGTGAGATCGTACAACTGCAGGGACCAGGGGGAGAGAGACAGCGCATGGGACAAGAAACACAAGAGCCGTGCAGTTGGGTTGGGTGGTGACAACGATGAGGATAACATCACCACGAGGGTGCTCATCCACATACGACATTAGATCGTACGCCTGCAGGGACCAGGGGGAGAGAGACAGCGCATGGGACAAGAAACACTTGGGTGGTGACAATGATGAGAAAGGCATTGCCACGAGGGTAGTCATTTAGATACGACATCAGATCGTAGGCACAAGTGACCAAGGGGAAAAAGATCCCCCTGGGGACAAGAAACACAAGAGCCGTGCACTTGGGAGATGAGGAGGCACCAGGACCGTGCAGAGCATGCAGACACCATCCGTACATAGAAATCATGAGCCCTGTACTGAACCAGTGGTGACACGTGGATAGCAGTGCTAGCCTTGCGCAAGAGTCGAGCACGGGATGCAGAGGGGCAGCACACGGACTGTGTAGCAGACGCAAGGACCAACAGTACATGGCTACAAGTGATTGAACGGGAGGTGACAGGTGGTAGGCATTGCCAGCCCTGCCACAGATGATGCAGTGAGTGTGAGGGGAAGGGAAGGATGGGGAGGAGGAGGAGGAGGAGGAGGAGGAGGAGGAGGAGGAGGAGGAGGAGGAGGAGGAGGAGGAGGAGGAGGAGGAGGAGGAGGAGGAGGAGGAGGCATGTGTGCACCTTGTTTTTTTCACGATGACAGATCAGTCAACCCTCTTGTTAACTATTGAGTTGACTCTGAATAGAGGAATATGTTTCTGGGTGTGAAGTCTAAGGAGAGGGAGAGGAGGGGGAGGCAAGTGTGGCAAGTGTGGCACCCACCTTGTTCTTGATAATGACCCAGCAGTCATCCCTCTTGTTGTGCCTCGCTACCTCCTCCTTGGTGTACACCATGGTTTCCTTGGCAGCCTGTCAGTTGGATGAAAATGTTGATACAATGACGGATAAACGGGCAGATGAACGGGCAGGAGAAAGGGGAGATGAAAAGGCGGAAAAAAAAAATGCAGATTCCTTTATAAAGAGCAGAGAAACGAGCAGAAGCTGGGAAGAGTGAGATGGAGGAGAGAGGCGGAGGAGAGACAAATTAGTGGGCAATATGTGGAGATGTGAACAAAAAGACTCTAGAAACTGAATGGACTGACTTACAGGTGGGATATCTTGTTGCGTGCCGCTTTTCTTTCCTGATTTTATGAGAGTAAATGTACCAATAACGTCCGGGGGCGCAAATAGAGGCACCAGCATACACGGGGAGGAGATATGCATGCAGGCACAGAGATAATTGCACACATGAACAAACCCAGAAACACTCAAACACAAACACAGGCACAAGCACCCACACAGAAGGCAAAGGAATTATGCTTGAGGGCACAGACGGCAAAGGCGTTATGCTTGAGGGCACAGACGGCAAAGGCGTTATGCTTGAGGGCACAGACGGCAAAGGCGTTATGCTTGAGGGCACAGACGGCAAAGGCGTTATGCTTGAGGGCACAGACGGCAAAGGCGTTATGCTTGAGGGCACAGACGGCAAAGGCGTTATGCTTGAGGGCACAGACGGCAAAGGCGTTATGCTTGAGGGCACAGACGGCACACACAGAGACGTGATAGAGGCGCAGAGAATGGAGAGGCGCAGAGGATGGAGAGGCGCAGAGAATGGAGAGGCGCAGAGAATGGAGAGGCGCAGAGAATGGAGAGGTGCAGGGGCTGTGAACAGCTATCATGCACAGTTTCAGGGATGAGACGGAGGCAGCGTGTAGGGTGTGTTCCAGGGAGGCGAGGCGTGGGGGTGGTTTAAGGAGGCGAGGATTTCGAGCCCATTTGGGCGTTCGATTTTTTGGGATGGCGTCGCTATGGTATAATGCTCTGTCGAAGTGCTGTTGTGCTTTGTCGCAGTGCTGTTGTGCTTTGTCGCAGTGCTGTTATGCTTTGTTGGGACTAACGCGGTGTCCTAGTGACGACGCGATGCTGTGTTCGTGCACCCTACGCCATTCGTTTCAGTGCTAGCGACATTAGTTTCTAAGCGACCTTTCATTTTGCGCCTTGCGCCTCTCATTCGTTTTCAGAGCTTGCGACCTCCCATTTCGCACCTTGCGACGGTCATCCCTCACCATACGAGGCTCAAATCTCTCCCTGCGGGGTTCGGTTCTCACCTTGCGACGCGCCAAGCCACGACGCGACGACCATGATGAGCACGAGTGCGACGAGAAGACCCGGTAAACCCAGCGACTGCGCGGAGTTGGCGAGGTGAGCGAGCTCCATGAGCGACGACGACCGTCGATGCGAGATCGCGAACGAATGGGTCGCTAAATGCAAAATGCCACTCTCAAGTAAACGCTAATTGACAATGCTACCGACGTGGACGGCAGTTGAAAGGTAGTATCGACGCTACTAGTTCGGGATACAACACCTTGAATGAAATTGCGAGCCTGGAGGTACCATAGTTTGGCAGGTGTGGAACATCTCAAGTCAAGACGGGTTCAAGACTTGAAAGTCCGTCATTGATGGTGGTAACTTGTTTGTATAACCGATGTACAGTGGAAAATGTACCACACTGTTCGGGACCTAGCGGCGTCTTGCTCACTTCTGGATGAAGCGCGGTGCATCACGTTCGTCAGGACAGGGTGTATGCAGATCGCATCTTGACCCGACTACGAGACTGTGTGTGATTAGAGCGTGGAACATCCTTTCGACCAAGGCGACGGTCGCCCAACAGCGACAGTAACCATTGTTGCGACCTCGCCATTGACCTACGAAGCAGACTGACGAAGACTGCATGAAGCACACACGTTCCACGGCTTATGCTCGTTGGTCGCCCCACTCGTTGAACCTCGCGGATAGACAAGAAGTGGCGACGTCAGGAGAGGCATGCGAAATGGAACCAGGTGTTGTCGTGAGTGACGTGCTGCAACCCAATTTGCAGCATGGTGTTTGACAAAGCAGGCCCTTTCGTGTACCATCGCGACTCCGTATTTCTGGGCGACCAAGTGTTTCCAACTTGGGATGTGGGATTTTGCTTGTTACATGACGAAAAATCGTCGCAAATCATTGACGAGACAAATGTTCGACCGAAAAGCCGACGGGACCGTTGTTCAAAAGGATATTCCAGGCTCTTAGCTCTAAACACGGCACACGTCGTACGACTCATGTTGCGATTAGGAACCTGCTAGCCGCGTCGTCACACTGAGTTCCGCGAGTTATGACATTTATGAATTCGGCAATTTGACTGGGGTCAAGGTCGTTGCACGTACCGTGTTTGATTTGAACTCCGATTTTGATATGTTCGTTTGAACGCCGGCTTTTGATTCTGAGGTCCTCGAGATATTGATGTATTGCGCCCTGAAAGAGAATTCCCTCGAAATTTCCCCAAGAGACGACCCAGCGATGCTGGCGAAAATCTGGCGAAAACTGCATTGCTGGAATTGACAGAGCGATGTTACTGGTGGGCGTGGCCAACAAGATCGCTCGTCAATCGAGATGTGGAGGCGTAGGCCGCCCTAGTTGTCCATTCTGGGTTTTGGATTTTGAAGCCCGCTGTACTGGATCTACTTCTACAGTTTTAGTCATCTACACCTCCCTCGATAAGGATGTGGCTGATAGCGAGAAAATAGGGAAAATATGTCAATGGTAACTTATATGGGGCACTATAACGCGTACGGTAACTATTACATTGAATTTTAACGCGTTTGGTAAATCGTTTCACGCGTTTGGTAACTATACACTGCCAAGCGATAACGCGAATGGTAACTAGAACTAACCATCACCCAAAATGACCTGATGCATAAAATTTCGCGCTCGCGCGAATTAATTTTGACGAATCCTGATGCATCGCGTTCTGCCTACCACGCACATATTCCCGAACCAAGATATTTAGCACAAATGTACGGTTTGGTTAACTACTTTAAAACATTAAACACGTTTCGACACGCACGTTTGGACCTTAATGTTTGGTTCTTTTGGTTGTGTCCAGGCCCTCAGATTCACTTTTAGGGACGTTGATGCATCAGGGTCACTGTGAAAAAAAGCATGAATTTTCAGGGTTCCTGAAAAAAAAAGCCTGAATTCTCAGGGTTCCTAAAAACAAAAGGCTGAATTTAAAATCACCCTATGCGTCTTAAAACTTACGACGTGGTGCCCAGAATTTGAACTCGAAACCTCTCCATTCGGTGCCAATTTCGCTAACCACTGACACATTACACATCTGGACTTCAGTCAGAATCTCTATCCCTCTTGTAATTGTACTGTGGAAAACTTGGTTGACTGAATCTCTCGGCTGTTTTACCGGAAGGATTCGGAATGTGCATTCAGTGTACACTTCGATAAAAGTCTGAAAAATCAGTGTTAGCTATGAAATAAAGGCTGAAAAAATCAGTGTCACAAAAATCTCAACACTGAAAAATCAGTGTAGGTACACAAAACTAGGCTGAAAATCAGGAATTTCAGGGAAAAATTCCTGATATCGTAGGGCCTGGTTGTGTCCTTGGGGAAAAAATATAGAACTCTTTCGGATGGCATGCGATTCTGAAATAATCAACCCTAAACACCTTGCGACAAGGCTAAAACAGGTGGCAGAAAAACTCGAAGATATTTGTGATACTGAACGTCTAAATTTTAAAAACTTGCCCATATTGGAAACAAGCCCCAAACGCCTTGTCGCAAGGTGTTTATGGTTGATGTTCTCAAAATCGCTTGTTATCTGAAAGTGGTTTATTATTTTTGCCCCAGCTGTGCGGTAGAATTGGAAACAAACAATGTCTAAAATAAGCGCTGAAATAATCATTTATTGTAAAATAACGGTTTTTTTACTGCTACTCGTGCGTTAATCTCTTGATTTTAGAAAGTGTGTCAGAAATTGGTAGGTCAGGATTCGTCGAATCAGTCTGGTGCAAGCGGGAAAAACCATAATCAGGGTAATTCTGAGTGAGCGTTTCTTCTAGTTACCATTCGCGTGATTGCTTGGCAGTGTATAGTTACCAAACGCGTGAAACGAGTTACCAAACGCGTTAAAATTCAATGTAATAGTTATCGTACGCGTTATAGTGCCCCATTTAAGTTACCAATGACATATTTTCCCGAGAAAATAATCTTGGGATGATGTGGCAGCAATGTTGACTGAACTTTGACTCACAGAGCCAGGTTGAGGTTCTGCTACACTGCGTTGATCTGAAAGACCCTCTCCGCCAAGCGCGGCACAGCAGACAAATCATGGAGGGCTCCTACGCCACGTCGTCGATTCAATTTCTGCTGACGCGAATTCTATGCTCCGAGCCGCAGCATTTGCAGAAAACCTCGCGACCGTGAGGAATCTCATATCACCACCGCCTTAACTATGATGGCGGAGGCACACACATCAGCTTCTCATCTCACATCCCTCCCCTCCCCTCCCTAACACACCTTTCTTGAAATTCTTGTACAATTTTCCGTTTTCTAGGCACAGCTGAGATTCTTGAAAACCCCAGTGAAGCACAGCACTACTTGCTCTCGGCAGTCGGTATTTTCTTGTTCATTGCCTACGTCAATCTGCAAGAGCCACAAGAAGCACGCATATTTTATAGCCAAAATTCTCTCACGCGTACGGAAGGGTCATCGCGAGTTCTGATTTTTGGCCTCCGAAGGTTTTTCTGCGTGTGCCTTGCGTGAAAGTTGCGGAAAGCTGCTGGAAAACACCGCACACAAATCACAACATTTTAGACATCCGAAATGCACATCGTCATCATACGATTTTGAGTAACCTCGCAGTCATTATTCTGCAACCCTACAGGAAACCCGTGGCGCACACCTACATCCCGACTCGCACATGCGACTCCACATTCCATCCCACCAACATCCGCGTTTTGTTTCTGGCGGTTCGTTCATTCCGTCACTGTATAACATCTAACTCCAAACACAATAGACGCTTATACGCATCAGCCATATATATTCCACCAACTCCACAAATACGATCGATTATAACACAACCACTACTACATCACCATTATAACCCTCTGCATACCCATGGCGTACGCGACCGCACACACAAAGCCCCACTACGGCGCCTCACCACCAAAACTCGCTTCACTCGTCGTCATCACTGTCGTGCTCCTCTGTGTCTGCCCCGTCCAGAGCTCGCACACCCGCGCGTGCACGCTTGACTGGCGTCCTGCACAAGCGGGATATCACCTCCTGGTTTGATGCGCCGACCTCTGCTGGGACCGCGGCCGGGGGAATACCGACCTCCACGTTGCGAATCACGCGCCGCTTGCTGCGCTTGTCCCGCAGCAATGGGCCATCGGGCAGGCTCATCTCGCCCGACGAGTCCGACGACGCGCTCGCAGCTGGTGTGGCTATGAACCCCTGCTCCACACAGAGGCCCGCGTCGCAGTAGATAAACTCCGCCGCCGTCATATATCAAGCAGGCCTCACCTTGAACTTCTCGATGAGCAACTGCAGATCGACGCAAATCGCAATAAGCGGCTCAAACATGCCTGTTGCGCACGTGTCGTCCAAGTACGCCATCAGTGGCGGCCAGCTCGACGGCACGCATCCGGCGCGCCACCAGCTCCTCTGCATGGTTGCCGCTCGCACACGCGTCCACGATTCTCCCAGCCACTCGAGCATGTCGGCATAATCGACATCAGTAATGCACGCCAAATAGTCGAACTGGAACCTTCGGGACGCTATCGCGTGCCTCATCAGCATCACGCGGTAATACGCCTTCAGCACGTCCCCCACGCCCTGCAGGTGCGGCAGGCCCGTCTCAGGTACCGATCCACGTATGTTGACGATTCTGGTGTTAGTGAGGTGCTGCACACTGAAGCCGTGCTCCGTGACGGGCCGCGTGACCGCGCCTGTGATGCGATGCGCCGGGTGGATAGTGAGGATGAGGGTGTTGCGATCACGGCTGAAGTGCACACCATTCACCGTCTCCACAAACTACGTGAACACCTGTGTGCAAAGCAGCAAACATGAAGAGCAGGTCACCATCGGAATATCAGAATCACTAGGCAAGAATGATTGAACTAACAGAAGTTTGGGTACAAATATGAAACCCTAGTTGGGGTTGTACCCCATATTGGCTACCCCACTACAGCCTACAAGCATAATACAGTTTAACACACCCCCATAGGCAAAGTGGGGGAGAACAAAGGGTCACAAGACCAGTCCAGCAAAGCAAAACAAAGCCCAGGGTGGATCACAACGTCACCACACTCCGAGCACAAGTAAAGGCCACAAGGCCAGTTCACATGCAGTGCTAGATATAGTACAAGACAAGCAACACAGTGATCAAAACCTAGCAAGCAAGCAACAAGATATATATAAAGTACAGTACAAAGAATGTCAAGCAGTGAGCAAGTGAGGAAACGTGGACACAAGGCCTAAAGAAGTACAGTGCCGCTGATGATCACTAGGCGGGAGCGCCTTGGTGAAGATATCAGCAGTGTTGGCCTTCGAGTCCACGTACACAAGTCGAAGCTGACCGCGCTGCTGAAGCTCTCGAGCAAGAAAGTAGCGAAGAGCAATGTGCTTCGTCCTGTGCTCCAGTCTGTGCTCCTGACACAAGGCAAGAGCCGCCTTGTTGTCACCGTACAGAACTGGAGGAGAACTAGGCCGCTCTCCCAAGTCAGTCAGCAGGTAGGTGAGCCAGCGTAACTCCTGTGCAGCCATGGCTGTGGCGTAGATCTCAGCCTCACAACTAGAGCCGAGAACAGAGGAAGAGCGGGTGGACCGCCACGAGACAGAACCTGAGCCAAGGCTGAAGGTGTAACCCTGTGACGACCGCTGCGTAGCCAGGTCGTCCACCCAAGAGGCGTCCGAGTGACCAGTGAGGACAACTCTGTCGCGTCCTCCAAGCACCAGCCCCATGCCTGATGTACTGCACAGGTAACGCAGTACCCTCTTAGCAGCCTCCCAGTGCTCTCGCCTGTGTCTCCCAGGCGCAACGTAACGAGCAAGGATGCTGAGAGGGTACGCGAGGTCAGGTCGCGTGCAAGTCATCAAGTACATGAGGCAGCCTACAAGCTCTGGGTACGGGCCACTCGGCTCTACGGACTCGTCCGAAGGTGGAGCTGAGAGCGAGTGGCTGGTAGCCAGAGGTGTGGCCTGTGGTGAGGAGAACTGGAAGCCGAAGCGCTGAAGGACCTGCTGCACCATGTGTGACTGAGTCAGGGTGATGGTGCGGCGAGCTCTGTCCCGGGTGATCTGCAAGCCAAGGTAGCTACGCAGTTCACCCAGGTCAGTGCAGGTGTGTCTCTTCTGCAGCTCCGACTTCACACGAGTGAGTGCCTCAGTGTCAGCAGTAGCAAAGACCAAGTCGTCGACGTACACGAGAATGTAGAACGGCGGCAGCGACGTGTCTGTGCGCAGAAACAGCGACGGGTCAGCAGTAGACGGCGCGAACCCAAGAGCCGCAAGAGTAGTCCTCAGTGTGTCGTGCCACTCACGTGGCGCCTGGCGGAGACCGTAGACTGGCCGGCGGAGACTCCACTGGGTACCAGGGGGAAACGACCCAGTAAAGCCAGGTGGGCGGCGCAGCCAGATCTCCTCGTGCAGGCTGCCCTGCAGGAACGCTGTGCTGAAGTCAAGAGAGTGAAGCTCGTAGTCACGCTGAGCAGCAACGTGCAGCAGAACCCGAAGAGTGGTCATCTTCGGGGTGGGGGAGAAGGTCTGGAAGAAGTCGACCCCCTGACGCTGACTGAAGCCTCTAGCAACGTAACGAGCCTTGAAGACAGGCGGAGAACCTGGCGGCCGCTTCACCCTGAAAATCCACATGCCATCGACGATGTTCGCCCCAGGAGGGGGAACCTCGTCGACGTAGGTGCCTGTGGACTTCCAGGATGCCATCTCTGCGTCCATGGCTGTCTGCCACTGAGAGGAGTAGGGACCCGAGATCGCCTCTGCGTAAGTGCGCGGAGTGGGGATGTCTAGTGCATCCGGGTCTCCCTCAGGGGCAAGCAACCAGGCCACGAGATGAGGTACAGCAGCCGCAAGAGAGTCAAAGTCCTCCTGCCTGTCCTCAAGGACGTCCGTGCCAAGAGCACACTCACCCCCGACGGACGGAGGACAGACAGACGCAGACTCTGACTCAGCAACAAGGCTAGCAGCGTAGTCTAGACGACAGGCAGCAGCAAAGTCAACCAACTCAGCGACCAGAGCAGACGCAGCCGAGGACTCAAAGGTAGGGTCAGTGACAACAGTAGCGAGGAGACGCGTGACTGTAGGGTGCTCAGCGCGATACCGGTCAGACTCAGGGTCCGGAACGTCAGGCAAAGAGGACGCAGGAGGAGACGGTAGAGGGACACGCCGAGGAGCAGTAGAGGGACGCAGAGTCATGTAGTGAGTGCCTGGGACAGGAGGAGGACGCTCACGACGGACACGACTACCAGTGCGAGCAGGACGAACAGGCGACGCAGGACGAGACTCAGGCTCACGACGCTCTGTAAGACCTCCTGTGGGACCAGCGTAAGGAGAGGGAGCAGGGAGAGGCGAGGTAGGCTGTAACTGTGACTGCGACTGGACAGGCAGAGGACACTCTACGGAGGGAGGAGGACAAGGAGGAGGAGCCTGCCCAAGAACCTGCTGAAGGAGCGGTACGAAGTACGGTCGCTCAGCACCCCGAACCGGAGCACCCCCAGACGCAGTAACCCGAGGCTCCGTAGGCTCAGTAGCAGCACCCCCAGGCTCAGTACCCCCAGGCGGCAAACTCTCAGGCACAGTACCCTCAGCTCCAGCACCTGCAGTCCCAGCACTCCCAAGCCCCTCACCCGCAGGTTCAGCACCCCCAGGCGCAGCACCCCCAGGCTCCGTACTCTCAGGCACCGTACCCTCAGCTCCAGCACCCTCAGTCCCAGCACCTGCAGCCCCAGCACCCCCAGGCCCAGCACCCCCAGGCTCAGCACCCCCAGGCTCAGCACCCCCAGGCTCAGCACTCCCAGCAGCACCACCCGCAGCAGCACCTGAGTCACCTGTGACCTCGACAGGCTCAGCGACGGGAGGAGGGTCTACCTGAGAGACACCTGAAGGAGCAGGACCCTGAGGGGGAAGGGGGTCTACCGGAGGGGGACCAGGAGCAAGGAAAAGCGGCGGGGGAGGGAGGGGGGCAGTGCGGTAGGGGAAGAGACGGTAAAAAGGGACCGACTCGTCAAAGGTGACATCCTGAGAGGCGAAGACCCGGCGCGAGGTGGGGTGGTAAAACTGCCAGCCAGGCGCGTCAGGGACAAAGCCAAGGAAGACACAGGGAAGCGTGCGGGAGGAGAGCTTGTCCGCGGACGTATCGCGGACAAGGGCACGAGCACCCCACACCCGGAAGCGCGACGCATCGCCAACCTCCCCCGTCCAACGCAGTGTGGGCGAGGTCTCCGGCAAGGAGACACGGGGCCAGAGGTTGAGCTGATGCGCGGCGTACCGGACAGCAAACGGCCACAGAAAATGGGGAGCCGCCGCGTGGACCAAGGAGGTACGAGCGATCTCCATGACCAGGCCAATGCGGCGCTCAGCAACCCCATTCTGCTGTGGGGAGTCCGGAAGCGTGAAGGTCTGCTCGATGCCCTCTGCCTGACAGAAGGTCCTCAGAAGATCGGAGGAAAACTCACCACCTCTGTCAGAGTGCAGACGCAGGACAGGAAGATCCGTCCGGAAACGGCGGCGGAGCTGGAGACGAACCGTGCGGATCCAAGGGATCAGAACAGCAGGGACCTCACCCTTGGTGCGCAAGGGGAAGACCGTGGTGTAACGCGAGTAGTCGTCAACAACCAGCAGAAAGTACCGCTCACCGCCCTGACCACGAACGCGGGCTGGGCCCCACACGTCCAGGTGGAGGGTCTCCAGAGGAGCCTCTGTCGGGGGGAACGAGGAGGAGTGAGGAGCGGCGCGCTGCCGCCCCTCGACGCAAGGAAGGCAAGGCGGCGCAGGCGAGGCAGGGAGGGGAGGGAGGGACCTGGGAAGACCGGACACAAGGAGGCGACGGTGCATGCCACGAAGGCGTGGCAAGGAGGGGTGACCCAGGCGGTGGTGCCAGAGAAGAGTCTGGTGCGACAGGGAACGACACTCACAGGCGTGGGCCACCAGACCTGACGCAGACACCTGACCGACAGCAGCTACCTGGGGAGACGCAGTGGTCAGTGTGTAGAGACTCGACCCCGGCCGACGGGTGAACGTAGCCAGGTGACGGCCAGTCCTGGAGCACGTGCAGATCGCCACACGCTGTCCGCCAGGGGTAAAGGTGTCAACCCACTGATCCTGGAGGACAGCGTTGCTCACCAGGTTCGTCGAGAACGAGGGGAGGTGGAAACCCGACAACGAGCCAGACGGAACCGCCGGACAAGGGAGGACAGTGGTGGACTGGGCAAGGACTGGGCCCCCAGAGGGGTCAGCCAAGGAGACTGGGACCGGTGCAGGAAGCGGTGTGAGCTCAGTACTGTCACGAAAGAAGCAACGGGAAGCACCTGAGTCAAGGGTGAAGGTGTGACAGGCCTCAGCCGGTGCGGTACCTGAGAGAGCAGTCTCTGTGGGTGCTGTACCTGAGAGAGCAGACTCGAAACCAGCCGGGACAGCACTGGGGGGAGCAAGTACAGGGGGCACCATACCAGAGAGAGCAGACTCACTAGTACCCAGGGCAGCGGGCTCTATACCTGGGTCAGGCGGCACACACAAGTAACAGTCTCCCTCGGCACTAACAGTCAATGCATACATGGCAGCAATAA